ACACTAGTCTTTTCGCGTCTGAGAAGGACCAGATTCAAAACGGCGTAGAACTGACGTTCGGCCAAGTGGCGAAACGGGATAAGGGAGAATTCACAGCCAATATCCCTCGTAAGTGGTCCAGTCGATAGCTTTATCCTCATGACGTCGCATGAATAGTCGGCTGACGTCAAAATTACGTAGAAAAGGCAGAAATGCCGGGTGAGAATGACTGCATAATTTTTTTTTGCATTTTCAGTTTTTTTGGTGGCGTTATAGGCGACTTAACCAAGAACCATCTGTTCTTGTATGACGGGAGCACTTTGCTTATTTACACAGAGAAGGTGGCATGGTGATACGAATGCTCGTCGATACGGTCAAGGGAGGCCTGACCATCGACCACAACTTCCTGGTCGACTTCGCCGACGAACCCGATGGACCATCGCTTGGCCACGAGATTCGCTTGCCCGGCGGCGACTCGACGTCCGACATATGGACGTGACTGGCTATACGACCACACCATTCAGCCTACTCTTGCGCAGTCAATAAAGATTATGTTCGAGTTTCCTCTGCCATTGTATTGCACGAAAGAAGAAAGAAAATCCAAAAATACGTATTGCTAGTAGGGCCGGTTGTGTTAATACAGGAGTGGCACGGGTTTTCCGTTGTGTTTCTTGATAATACCTTGAAAACTTGTGTGTCCGTGAAGTCAATGAAGTGAAATAGATTAAACGGAGGCTTAAAGGAGCACTGACACAGAATTTTCAATGTGAGATAACTTGTGCGGTAGGTTTGTGTGGACACACATGTATCACCTACGGAATAGGAACAGATAATATAACCTAGAATGTATAACCTAGAAAACACTGCATAGAAAACTTCCAGGAATGAAGCTTGAGTCCCATCCCCTCCTCGCTCCCGTCAGATATAAGGATACACTGCGCCAAGACAAACAATCTCGAAGAGGCGGATTAAAAAAGAAAGAGAGAGAAAAAATTCCTTACATGGGCGCTAGAGCAGGACATGCGAAATCGGGATGCTAAGGCTAACAAGGGTTAGGATGCTGACGCCATTGATTCACCGAAAATAGAACCCGCACAATGACTTTTTTTGTGTGTGGAAAGTTTAACGCTTTGTAGGTCCTCGTTTCGTGTGTAGGCAGTCTAATCATATTTTTATTATTGAGATGTGCTCGTAGCAGTTACCGTCACTCTGGGACGATCCATGTTTGTTCAATCAAGCCAGGAGAAAAAAAATAATTGAATATGGTTTTTTTTTCTCCTGACTCAATTGACGAATACACACGCGCCGGTACCTGTGCAGCCATAGGAATCAAGGATGTGTCACTGCGAAGCCAATATCGTTCACTTGATCATTCTCAGTGATCAGGAAGGCGACAGGTGATGCGCCTATCAGGGGGCGGCTAGGAAGGAACAGGAGGGAAAGGAAAGGCAGGGATGTTAACCAGTCTGGAACGACCGGTATGCTTCCCTACACTGAGGAAAGGGACGAGGGAGTTTGAAAGAGGGAAAAGAGAGAGAGAGAGAGAGAGCACGCACACACATTGGGCTCACAAGTGTTGATGACTTGGTGCATGTTGACGCGCACTAACCGGCGAGAGTCCGAAAAGACACGGTTTTAGTCCACTGGCGTTCCACTGAATGATGCATGCTTCCTTGACTTCTCAGAAATGATGGCGATCGATTGCCATATTTGTACTCGAGCGATTCAAGTACTGGGATTAAGGCGTCCAGTACTTTGAGAGCGCTTCGAGCAGACGTTGTCCCCATGTACAACAAGATCTCTCGGATGGCATCCATGAGATAACGAAGCATAGTTATGACTTTGTCATCTTTCTTATGCGTGTCATCAACGGTCGGTGAATACCTCTGAGTGGGCGTAGTCTTCCGACGTTGGACGACTTGGAAGAATAGGCCATTCCTCTGTAGAGATATTTTTCTCCGCAGTCTTCTTTGAATTTGTCGGTCCTGTTGCGGCTTGACTCAATGGTGCAGCAGTAGAAGTGGCGCTGTCCTTTCGAGCTTGCGCAGTCTTTGACGTCCAACGATGGTGCCGACGCCGCTGCCGACACCGGACTGTTGCAGCAGCATCCATGTGGGTAGAATTGTCTTTGACCATTTGCTTAAGCAACGCACGCTACTTCTTCATTCGAGGGCAGTCTTGTGGATTGACAAGACTGTGGACGACAAGAAATGGGGATTGACACGCATATTCCGAAAAGGGTTCTGCGGACCGGGCACACCATAGCGATTTCGGACTCACGCCTTTGACGTGGCCTATATTTTAAAGTACCGGTGACACTTAAGTGGCTTTTGCTCAAAAGACCGAACAGGATGCCGAAAATGTCCGACTTTGACATGAAATGGTGTGCAATCACCTTTGAAGACCAGTTTCGCGCAGCGTACCTTCCCAAGGTGGTGTACCTGAGTGATGACAGTACCCTCTTTTGCCGGTGTAATGAGGGTAGGCAAGCCTGCGTGGAGAATCACAATGTCTACGTCGTATATCACACCGACTATGGATGCGTTGTCAATCGGTATAAAGATGCGCAATTTGATGCTGCCTAGCTCAGTCACTTGTTGGAGTTGTACAAGCGCATTCACGTGGAATACGTCTATAGCGAATATGTTTTTTCGCGTATTTACTCGGATGTCCTTGATTTCATTACGCACCACACGTTCCAAAAGAGCGGAGAGTGCTTGCCTATTCAGCAGTCGCAGGTTTCCTGAGGACTCTTCTGTCACGAATATGGTGACGTGTGGCCAGCGTTCATGCCTTGACTTCATAGTCGCTCTACTTGCAGAAGTGGGCGAGGCTGCATTGACGATCTTCCTCTTCGCCCTCTTGCTCCGGGCAGGAATGAAATCATCGTCGGATGAGTTGTCTTCCGAGGCGGCTGAGTACAGCTCTGTGTCCTCGCTGTCACTGAGTGAGGTTATTCTCTTCCTCGCGGAGGTCAGCCGAGATGACTGCTGGTTAGGCGGTCCTCCAGAAGGCCCTGCATCCATAACAACAAGACGCAGAGCCGAGGCAGCAGAAAAGTCTGAAGGTTTCACCGAAAAAATTGGAGAGCACAGAGAGAAGCGCTTGGATACCCGCACTCTTCGTCGTCGTCCTCAACTCAGGGGCAGCTAGAGTTACTGTATATGCTACCTTTAGGTAGCGTCATATACAGTAACTCTAGTACAGTAACTCGAGGAACAGCTACCAGCCTCTCCGTTTTTTCGGCAGAGACGTCTAGACGTCTCAAACCGGCCGGCCTCTACAGTGGCGAGGGTAGGGGAGGAGAACGCGATGCGCCTTTCCGGCCTTCCGAAGAATGTGGTAAGGCGAGATGGCAGCCACGCTATAGGGACCAGAGACGGAACACTGCTGCACCTTTATTGGCGATTCTGTGCAGCGCGTCGGCTGTGAATTACTGCCTTCCTCAGACTTGAACGACGAAGACAAATCTATAAACTTTGAAAAACAGGAGCCCTTACGGGTAAGCGTCGAGTGCTTCAGAGGGAAGGTGCTTGAGTTAGCACAGTAGAGGTAAAGTGATAGCAAATGTTCAGCATAATTGAAAGGTCAATAAAAATAAATGAAGCATGTGTCTTTGAAGCGTGTGGGAGGACGCGTACGCGCAAGGCGACAAAGATGCCCAGTTGGTGAGACCCGCGAGGTATGGTACCACATTTTCACCGCCAGTGAATGAAGACATAATTTTACACTGCAGCTACTATTCCCAGCTGCAGGGTTAGGAGTCGTGCGGAAGCACGGCATGCAGGTTGAAAGGCCAGTCATGACTCTTATATTGTGAAAGCACTTACGCTTCAGGTAGAGAGCCTCTTAAACAACCTCCGAGAATACGAAGAACGAGGGAGCTACCCGCTACTGAGGTTTAAGACACAATCCGTCACATCACAGTCTGTTCACGCAACGTCATAAGGAAATAAGCTTGTTATTGGTCCGTATACGAGTGATATCAAAAGTAAACATTCTCCGATACCTGCTCTGCCGTGTAGTCGTCCGACTGTTCCTTCTTGTTTTGCACGACTATCGTGCGCGTTGAGATAATTTCGCTTTTTTTTTTCTGTTTTCGATCGCGCAAGCGGACGGAGGGATCAGAACTCAAAAGCGCGAATGCCTGATAGGTTCAATGCTTAGCGCTGAAATTGTCCACATGACGTGTCTTATGAAGTGGCGGGCCCTTATGTAGTGGCGGAGCGAGGAGTAGAGAAAGCCTGCTTAAAGGATGATGATTGCGAGAAAGACTTGACCGCTATATCTGTCTTCGAACGCGTCGATGAGTGGTTCAAGTCCCTCCATAAACCACGGGTGTACGCGTTGTTCTCCATTAGAAGGGAGTGGTCCAGTTTCACAGTAACAATACCCCCCCCCCCTTGTCATACTTTTAGGTCTAACCCGAAAGTAATCAATGGAAAAATGAAAACGAAGCCATGACGTGCGTCTCGCAAAGACCATTCTTCAGCTTGTTAGGTAAAGCGGGAAGCAAGTGCAGCTTTTTGAATGCAGTATTAAAGGTTATTGGTCATCATTATTGCCACAACACGTGCTTAGCCCTAACCCTATGTATTAACGAAATGACGTCGAGGGTACGACTGAGTAAAGTTATGGGACAGAATTGGCAACCGCCTTTATGTGATTAGGGGGGAGAGGGGCCTCCCCTTTCTGCCTCCCTCCCTTTGCACGTGCTTTGCCTTTAACTGTAGACGATGCCCGAATACCTGCAACTTCGTCATGCTCGAACGTCGTTCTACCGAAACTACGACGCTGTTTTGACGACGTCGCGGTGTACTGCACGGTAATAATGTAGCGCGGCTCTCGTCTCGGTTCGTCCGTTGCGAGACGACCGAGAGGGCGGGAATGAGCGAGTGCGTCGTCGCTTATTTCGCAGCTGGGCTGTCGAGCCATTTCTGCCTCTCACATCTCCCTCTCCACCCGACCTTCGCTGTTGCTGACGCGAGAAGAGGCAACGGCAAAGCCACGTGGTTCGGCGCTATCAAACAAACCGGCGGCGTTGCAGCTGGGTTTTGCCGCGCGCTCAAAGGCGGCACATACCGGACGATAGGAAGCGAGGCGATATATTTGGTGCGCGCTCTACTCGGCGGCATTGTGTGCGGCATCGCTGGGCGCTGCGATTTGAAGACATTAACAGCATCCGAAGAGAAGCATCATGGCAGGTGAGAAGAGTTTCGTGACTACTGTTGCTGAACTTGTCATTGCGGTCGTGCATTTTTGAAAAGTACTCGACAGCGACGACAAACGCGGTGAAACTTTCGGGGAAGTTGTAACGCACTGCGATAGAACTTCCTCGTACCCTTGGCGTTTTTCCTGCATGCCTCGTGTCGTGCGTTTCGAGTGCGGTAGCTAGTTGAGCAAGTCGGTACGTCTTCACCCTCGCATACAGTGCGTGAGAAATCACACACTAGATGGATGCATAACCCACGAAACACGACCGCCGTTTGTCGTCGTTTTTTTTTTTTTTTTTTTTTTTGTGGTGCCTGTTGTTCGCGCTGAGCGTAAACGTACTGCAGGACGAAACGTAGGAGCCACGCCCCTTTTCGCCGGGAGCAGGCGGTTGTACGCTCGGTGTGTTCATGCGCTGTCAGCTGTTCCCTTACCTCGTAGAATTGCTCCTGCCAAATAATCGAAGCCTCCGTTGTAGATGTTTTTTTTTCTACGATTCCTCTTATCCTGACAGTTCTTCGTATGCGCTTGGCCATTTAGGTGCGGTACGCGAGCACCAACTCTCTCGTTCGCGGCGTTACTTTTTTTTTTTTATCAAGCGCTGTCATTGAGCAAAATAAATGCTGTGGCGTATAATACTGACTGCACTGCGGTTCTCCTCATCCGCTTCTCCTCGTTCCAGACAATTTGGAAGAAGCGAAAGTTTTGATTCAGGGTATTCGTCTGCACGGAAACCGAACGCATGTTGCCTTGAGCGAAAGCCATTCCCGCGCTGTTTACGGCTTAATAAACGTTTCCTGGTACGACAAAGCTCCTCCAGCTTGCGTGCTTTGTGCGTATCATGTAGCTGTTCAAAGCTTCAAGCGTATGCAAGTTAAAAACATGCGATCGCTGTGGCCTGCTTGGTCTTCTTTTTTTTTTTTTTTTTTGCGGCAGCCTGCGTGCATGTGCTGGTGGGGGTATTTAATTCGCCTCTGCGTACAGGACGAGGCATTTTCCTCAGTCGTAACATTTTACAGCGCATTGTGTTTTCCTCTCATCTTATTGTTCATTGGTTCTGCAATCCCCAGGAGGGATTTTATCAGGTGGGTGCAAGAGACGTAAATATCAGCATATAGCACCAGGCAAACAGATGGGACAGCCAATCACATTTCACATAGTAGGCAGCCATATAACACAAAGCAAACAAATAACTGTCACTTGCGCTTTGCAACGTAAACAAACGTAACAAAATATTACCGATGGCACATCACTCTCATTTTAAGAAAACAAAGCTAGCTCACAAGTAAAATTATTTTCTGTTTTTAACCCTTGAATCTAGATAAAAGCTACGAATACAAAATTGGTCCCTCATCATGGCATGGTTTCGGGATGTAACACCCAATGTATTATTATTATTCAAGCTACAAATGACCTACCATGGTCGTATCATCTATTCTTTCTATTCCTTTTCCCTAATGCCCCGATGTATAAGGAGGCCTACTGGGAGTTTTTCTGGTTAAACTCGCTGCTTTATTTTTCCTCCATGCACTGCTAGACCGAACGTCGTATTTCGATAAAGACTGAATGCTAGTGACATGTGTACTTCGATACAGGCGAATGTTCAAGAGCCCCGAGTCATCTAAATTTCTGCAGCCGTCCACGGTGGTGTGCCTCGTAATATCATGGGTTCGGAACCGAAATCTAGCAGTCATTGTCTAGCAATAACTCTACTATGTTTTTCTTAGTTTAATTACCTGAGTGCCTACTTGTAAAACTTACCCTATGGTCCGTTATCCGTCTTTCGTTTTTAAATTCACAAGTGTGTCATATAAAGGTCAATGATCCGCTGTAGGAAGCCACGACTTCCACCCGTGGCAATTTTCCACTCGCACAACGCCGACTTCCAATTTTCCTGTCGCATAGCGGTGTGTACTTAAGCTCGCCATTGCGCCACCGCTTTAGGTTAAAAAAAGTGTTAATGTTTGCTCGTACTACTAATGCTCGTGTTTTTCTTTTACTTGTCGCCAAGTTTAGCTTCATTACGAGTGTTTTCCTATCATTTCGAAGATGAAATCTGTTTGCATGCAGGCTGATTCAGTCGAACACGTTTGCAGCTACGCAGACCTGACAATCGATAGCTTTTCGCACGTAACTAGCATATTACTAATTCTGCGGTAGAGAGGACCAACGTCCTGTTTCAAGATAGCCTCGTCTTACATACGCCTATGGGCGCCTGTTTTAGTTGTGTTCGTCTGAACACATCCCCCTACGCCAAATCGCGTGCAATTGCAGACTGGTCATCAACGGCTCGTTAACCGACCTGCGGCCGAAGGAGAGGCGATAATAGCCTTGTATTAGAGGAGAAATGATGGTCCCCGACTGGGACTTGTCCCCCTAAATGTAGTTTGTTCGTGGTGTCTACGAGTGCGTGGCGGTGGAGCCGCCGCTGAAAGCGTGGCGTCTTTGATTACCGCACACTCGTATTGGCTGTATTGCAGTCAGGGCAATATTTCTATTCTGCTGCATACCCCTGGGCGCGTGCTGGCTTGAAGTCGCGCCTTTCCGTAAAATATTACACACCAGATGTCGTCATTTTGGCTTCTCGGGTTCGTATTCCGCATTGCTTCATGTAATTTTTACTAGAGGGAGTTCTAGCGCCAGTGGTTATGGGAGCCGCAAGCGTTGTGGAGGTCATTAAGCGGGAACGCAATTATCAGTGTTGCTTTGAAGACCTATCATATAAGGCTTTTTAGATTCTTAGCCAGCGATAATGTTCTCGACAAGCATAGTGACGATGCACGAGGTGAAACGACGGTTCCAACAAACATTTCATGCAACCCGGCTTCCGCCTCCCCCCTTCCGATGAGAAACCTTTCGTCAGCCAATTTTCGGGCCAAACTTGATCAACGAACGCAACTGTAACGTTATCACGGAGTATCTCCATTTCGAATCACCTGCCACTTTTCGGACGATTTCAGTGAAATAATGTTTAATGGTTGTGCAATGCTCGGTACGTATAGAATGCGAAAGAACCGTTGTTCGCTGAACACGTAATACAGAATAGCCTCAATGGCTATCTAAGGAGAGCTTCAGTGAGCGCAGTCAGACGACAGACGTAATCTGTGCATAGCTGATGAGATGTCCACGAGCCAACTGCTTCATTTGCATTAGTTGAGTTGGTCGCACATAAGGGCACAGAGCGTATAGGGCTGTTCATGCGGATTTTCTTCTTAACCACTGAACCAAAAGGGAATGAAGAAGTGGTCACTATTCGCAACTCGTGTCTGACCTAATTTTACTGCGATGTCTTTGATCGCAGTCTCTAAATGCCTCACAATCACGTGACCACACTCGAGTGTCTAACATATGAACACATGGCACAATATATTTGAACGACAACTCTCGTTTTTTTTTTTTTACAAACTCTTACAACAGGGCGAAATCATAGTGCCACAATCGTGGTATGTCGTTATGAAACTTCAAAGTACCTATGACATGTTTAGGCTGCATGCTTTTGTGCACGAAAACAAAAAGCGTACACTTGTCGAGGCGCTCGAGCGTCTCGATTCTTTTGCACGCAACGTATTCCTCCCAAACGTGACGTTAAAAGTCCACATATAAATCTTCCTCCCAAACGTGTCGTCGTATACCGAGACTACGGCCGTGGGGGAAGGGAAGCTCGGGGCCCCCCTGGACGATTTCATAGTGGGCAGAGTTTTCCCGGCCACCGGTCCAGAATACTATATTTACGAGCTCGTCTTCGGTTCTAGTCAATCGACCATGAACTGCTGGCCGTGCTGTTTGGCGGTTATTTAAAAAGAGACTATTTTATGCCAACTAGTTTTTAAATGCGACGTATTTCCTTGCGTACTGCAAGCACGTTTGGCGTCTCTCTCTCTCTCTCTCTCTCTCTCTCTCGTGTGTGTGTGTGTGTGTGTGTGTGTGTGTAGCTGCCCACGTATGGGTGCTCTCATGATCACCCCCTCTACTTTGGGGTACACCAAAATGAGTACAGGAGGGTAAGATGCTTTGACGAATGCGACTCGCTGGTCCAGACATAAATAATGTCACAATGTCGTCGCGCACATGTTCTTGGTCACCTATTGATCGTGGCCCATACCCACCATGGGGGATTGGCCAAGAATCGAGTGGTTTTAAAAATCATTCTTCAGAATTGGAATAATGGAGATATAATAGACAGATTACTGATAACCTAGAAAAGTGTACTGCTTGATCTAATGCATGCAATTATTTAAATTAAGAAACGAAGTTATGCTTACAGTAGAGTAATAATCTGATTTTTATACGTATAGTTTTGTAGACGCGTTAGGATAATGAAACATACGAATTAGTCAACCTATTAGTGTCATCAATATAGTCCCGAACGGCCACGCATACTGTCGCATTAGAGAACCCAGAAATGGAAGCTCTTAAAGACAAAATGACAGGCACAGATAAATTCCTACTAATACCACGTAAAGGTATTTCTAAAAGGGTTTTTCGTAATGTGTTAAACCGCCTGCAAGTCAAAAAGAAATTATCTATTGTTTCAAGTTCATCATAGTACGCGCACAGTGGCAAAGGTGTCTGAGCAGACCTGTGTGTATACAAATTTAGATTTGGTACCCGGCAACGCAGCCTTGTGATAGCTACTTCTTGTTTACGACTGTCATCACACTTTCCAAAAACAGTGGCACGTCTCCGGGGGTGGGCATGTTCCACGAGTATGCGGGTATGTGCCACCGGTCATCGACGTTTTATATCTACTAAAGGACAGCGAGAACACACGTAGGTAAGTTTAACGCTTGAGCGTTAAGAAAACCCTGCGATAAGCAACGTTGGCCAGACGAATGCATACAATAAATGTCAATGTCCCAGCAGGAATTGAACCCAAGCATTCTACGTGGCAATGTAGTATTCTACTACAGAGCCACTCCAGGCCTCGGATATACTTTTCAAACAGATCTTAATGTTCGTGTAACGTCAATTGTGGTTGCAGTACTGGCTACCC